ACCTGGCTGATACTAATGCCGCTCAAACTGCCGACAATGTTTAAATATGGCATGGTTGATAAAAAAATAAATACTGTGCCAGGTATAAGGCATAAAAAAGTCTAAAAAGCAAAAGAAAAAAAAAAAAAAAAAAAAAAAGTAATGCTTGGAAAAAAAAAAAGTGAAGAGTATAAAAATGAAAACCTAAGAAAGAAAGAAAGAAAGAAAGAAAAGAAAGAAAGAAAAAGAAAGAAAGAAAGAAAGAAAGAAAAGAAAGAAAGAAAGAAAGAGGAAAGAAGAAAAATGAAAGAATGAAAGGGGGTGGGGATGGTTAAGTGGTAAAGCCCTGTCTCGGCAACATAGATTAATGAATAAATTCTTTGATATGGAGTTCGGAACTTAGTCTCTGGTGTGTGTTTTTAGGTATACACTAATCATTAATATTCCATCATTGTTTTCAGAGAAAAAAGTTAAGCTGAGAGCATTCTATGAAGACTCAGTTCTTTAAAGAAAACAAATCAGAAAAAGCAACATATGACAACAAACTAGAACACGACAGGCAATAAATCACAGTTTGTATAGGCTATGCATATCCTATATCATGATGTAGCTAATAATACTATATATAAATGTTGACTTGATCAACTGATAATGCACTACCCAGCCAACGTGCCATTTCACAATTTCTGCAGAATCAATAGTGTAAGTAACCAAGCCTAAATACTTTATAACCAGCACTGGCTATCCGATGAACTTTTACAAATAACAATACATACAATTGCACTGCCCCCACTAACTCTCCTTGTAAATCCATACATTAATATTTCATAAGCCACGATAATTAGTGGTGTGCAACAGCGAGCAACAGCCATGGACTATAAATCTGTCGGATCTACAGTAAACGCTGTCAAACGTTATAGCATACAGCCAGAACTTAGACTGTTTCCTCATTTGCCAATAAATTAAATGGTAGTTCAATAACTCAAAATAAATCCCCAGGCATCACAAATAGCCTGTATGCTTCTTTAATAACAGTGACGAGAAGCTCCTCTGAATCGCTGTAAAGGTAATGATTCAGGACAGTACCAAACAAACAGTGACCGAAGCTAATTTCTTGGCTAGAAAGTCAGACGGCTGAACACATCTGCATAATAATACCTCTGTGCAAAATAAAGGTAAACCCACAGTCACTTATCAAACAAAATCTCTTAAATCTAAGCTTGTCTACTATGTCTACTGTGCTCTGTGCACCAGCAAAGTCATTTAAACCAACTCCATTTATTTGTAAGATAGAACTTCAAGACCTCTATGATTTAGTCACATGTGGGACTAATCCAAGCTCTATCTTGCTGAAAATATACAATGATTGTGGAACTAGAGAGTAAATTACAATCCACAACACTGCTTAGTACAGTCCTATCATAAATGTGAGCAATTCCGAAAATAATGGCAATAATATTACGAATAATACTGATAATGGCAATAGTGATCATGTCAATAAATAATCAAATCATAAAACAAAACAACAACAACGATTTAGATAATGAAACTGAAGCTTTCCTCCAAGCTCAAGTAATTACCTTAGCTTGTCCATGCATGCTTCTTCAGCAACTTATCACCGACTTCTTCACGCTATTAAACCACGACACGAACTGGAATATTTCCTTCTCTCACTCTTATCACTCCGCGAATGATTCACTATCTCATGACACTCGATAAACACCAAAAAAAAAGCAAGATAAAAATGACGTTTTCCTACTCAAGCCACTTCACTTCTGAACGCACCCAAAACAAACAGACAATTTTCTGTAATTTCACCCTCATTCCCCCGCCTTCTCGCCTCCGAATCGACGCCACATTCAGCGCCACTCCTCACCTGTTCGTAATAATCTCCCTCCGGACTCTCAGCGACGCCGAAATACCGAAATTTCCCTCCTCAAAAGCATAAAGTCAGGCAAGGCTCCTCTCGCTTCCCAGGTTTTGTTGACAACTTGATCGTTCCGGCCGCATCAGCGCCATCTGTCGGCCGGACGGGGAACTACGACTGGCCGTATTGCCACCTATCGGCCGGACGAGAAACTAATCCACGACATCTATTGGCCAGACGGAGAACTTCGAATAAATGCCATCTATCGGCCGAACGGGGAATTCAGGGAAATTACTATCTATTGCCCATAATAGAGGGTCGGGTAGGTGGACGGGGGGGGGTGTAATAGGAATACAGATAATAAGACGTTTTATTGTTAGAGGAAATATTAATAGCGAAGACGATAATACTAACAATAATCAATGTATTAGTAATAATAACACATGGGAATTAGAATAATTGGATATAGCCTTACTAGGCATATCAAGACCGCACTATATATATCATACAGGGAACAGTATTATGAGTGTAATACCTGTAGTATACATGGGAGTAATAACAACAGTGTTACATAACTATTAATGGTGACGTTGATTTAATTATTGTTGGTGGCGATGATAATGAAAGCAATAATGATGATAATAGCGATAATAATAATAATAACAATGATGACAATGATGATGATAATCATTATTAATACTATCAAGGAGAGAGAGCGAGAGAGAGAGAGAGAGAGAGAGAGAGAGGAGAGAGAGAGAGAGAGAGAGAGAGAGATGAGAGAGAGAGAGATGAGAGAGAGAGAGAGAGAGAGAGAGAGAGAGAGAGAGAGAGAGAGAGAGAGAGAGAGAGAAAAGGAACAGCAACTGATCTTTTTTCATTACATCCTCATAAAAAATCTCGACTCGGTATAGAAAAAAACAAGTGAAGCCAAGTTACTTGCTGCATGTCGCGTGCTGAAACAGTTAAGCAACCAGCAAAATGTCACAACTGTGCACTCAATACCGCCATCATCATTGCCCTTCTACATTTTTTTTTCGAGGAAGAACATCTATCATATAAGCGAGCATTCATTGCATACAAGACCTACAATAATATATTACTGCTATGATTGATTTCGCGAAAGAGACAATAAGTGCCAATCATGATAGATAAAATGAATGTATTTATAAGACATAAAAACATGAGAAAAAATGCCATAAGAATAAGGGAACGGAGGAATGCGTAACAAGTAAATCAAATAGTATTCGGTAAATGATGAAGTTATAGGTTATAAAAGGAAGAAGAAGAAGAAGAAGAAGAAGAAGAAGAAGAAGAAGAAGAAGAGAGAAGAGAGAGAGAGAGAGAGAGAGAGAGAGAGAGAGAGAGAGAGAGAGAGAGAGAGAGAGAGAGAGAGAGAGAGAGAGAGAGAGGAGAGAGAGCGAGAGAAGAGAAAGCAAACAGAGGCTAGGGGATATATAAAACAGAGAGGGAGGGAGGAGGAAGGGAGGGAGGGAGGGAGGCGAGAGAGAGAGAGAGAGAGAGAGAGAGAGAGAGAGAGAGGAGAGAAGAGAGAGAGGAGAGAGAGAGAGAGAGAGAGAGAGAGAGAGAGAAGAGAGAGAAGAGAGAGAGAGAGACAGAGAGAGAGCGTTAGTTAACAGTGAACAAACAAGCAGTAGTGAGTGAATCCGTCAGAGCGAAAAGGAAGAGAAATAGAATTGAAAGTAATGAAAGGAATAGACGAAAAAAGGATAAAGAGGAGGAAGTAAGCAAGAAAGATAGTAAATAAGCAAATATACGTGTTTATATGAGCAAATTTGAGCAAATCCAGAAATGCTTGACTTCCCCAGATGACAGGGGTCAGGTAACTAGACAATGTTGTTGCGGTCAAAAACACGATGACGAGTGATGAGGCAAGCAAAAATGCCTTTCTTCTGTCTGGTCTGTCTGTCTCTTCAATCTCCGTCCATTTCTCTCACGTCCTCTTCACCACGGGTGCTCTGGTCTTGGGGCGAGCAGGGGGGTGGTCGTCTTGTGCTCTGTGGTGGAGCGTTGGTCGTCTCTCATCGATCGGTTCTTCTCAGTCCTTCGCGTTCTTACTCCCGACCATCTCTCTCGTCTCTCTCTCCTCCTCTCCTTTCTCAATTCTCACATCAGACCAGACAAGTGTATTTGGTTGGTAGTGACAACATACAAGTAATCGATAAAAGTGTATTGCTTAGATCTGAAATTGTGCTTGCTCAGTTCTTGGCACTACCATGAACGGCTTGTAGGAATTGAACTGGAACGCAGACTACGACACAGGCAACAATACACACTCATACAACACACGACTATAATACGAAGAGACACACACACACACACACTATTGACCCAACACGCTCCGTCACATCACACAAACACAACACACACACCACACACATGACACACCACCTCCGCTCCCCGTCTCGGACCACCCATTTGCCCAGAACCCAACCCTTATTCGAATTAACGCGACGATGACCGTTTCCTTCGCTTCCTCTTCCCTTCAAACAGAAATAATTATGCAATTCCGTATCAAAAAAAAAAAAAAAAAAAAGGAAAGAAGAAGAAAGACAGTAAACATGTCACGAGGTATTTTTTGTCTTTAATGGAGCAGTTGATATTCACACACAGGCGCTGGCCGTGACCTCAGGAGCAGCGTGTCCAAGGTGTTGAGGAACGTTTTGCAATGCTGCTTTGGTATCCTTTTGTGAGGGAGAGAGGGAGGGAAGGGAGAGGGGCGGGAGAGGGGGGGAGGGGGGAGAGGTGGGAGGGGTGAGAGAGGAGTAGGAGGGGGAGGGAGGGAGGAGGGGGAGAGAGGGAGAGGGGATAGTGGAGAGAGGGAGGGAGAGGGAGAAAGGGGAGGGGAGGAGAGAGAGAAGGGAAGAGCGAGAGGGAGAGGGAGGGAGAGTGGAGGGACAGGGAAAGGTGCGGACGCAAGAGGGAGAGGAGAGGGGGGGGGGGAAGGGGGGGGGAGAGAGAGAGAAAAGAGAGAGAGAGAGGAGAAGAGAGAGAGGAGAGAAGAGAGAGAGAGAGAGAGAGAGAAGAGAGAGAGGCAGAGAGAGAGAGAGAGAGAGAGAGACAAGAGAGAGAGAGAGAAGAGAAAAGAGAGAGGGGAGGAGAGAGAGAGAGAGAGAGAGAGAGAGAGAGAGAGAGAGAGAGAGAGAAGAGAGATGAGAGAGGAAGAAAAGAAACAGAGACAGAGAGACAGATAGACAGAACAGAGACAAGACAGGCAGAGCGGAGAGAGAACGACGAGTAAGACACCATATAGACACGAGACAGACAAAGAGGGAGAGAGAAAAGAGTAAGAGACATAGGCAGAAGACAGATAAAGAGGGGAGAGAGAAAGGAGTAAGAGAAATAGACAGAAACAGGACAAAGAGGGGAGAGACAGAGATTTTAAGAAACACTAGACAGAGACAGGCAAAGAGGGAGAGAGGGAAAGAGTAAGAGACATAAGACAGAGCAGAACAAAGAAGGAGAGAGAAAAAGAGTAAGACAAACAGATAAAGACAGAGACACCACAAGATAAAGAGGGAAGAGAGAAAAGAGTAGAGACACAATCGACCAGAAACAGACAAAGAGGGAGAGAGAAAAGAGTAAGCGAGTAACATCAGGACAGAGACGACACAAGAGGGAGAGAGAAAGAGTAAGAGATAAATAGACAGAGACAAGTATCAGGGAAGGGGAGTAGGGAAAAGAGTAGGAGCCACCATTTAGGACGAAGGTTCAAGGAATTAGGACAAGGGTTGGGTACAAAGAGGGAGAGTAGAATAGAGTAAGATAAATAGACAGAGACAGAGAGTACAGAGGAGATAATTGTTGAGTGGCGGCGTCTGATACTAAATTTAACAGTGAGCAGATGTTTCCCGAGGATGCCTTATCTCTGTTGAAATAAGATTAACAATGCATCAAATAGGGGCAGTGTTGGTCCACCCGTGCCCATCGATTATGTGTGCGCGGTTGGCCCAGTGGCCCTCATTTGCGTCCCTTTGTTTCGAGAAGTACCGGTCGGCGTTGTGGTCACTGGATTTCTTTCATCCTCTTCTTCCTTTCTCCTCTCCCTCTCTCTTTCTCTCTCTTGCGCTCTGTCCTCCATCTGTCTTCTCTCGTCTCATTCGGTCGCTCCGTCTTGTTCCCCACTCTCGCCCTNACACAGACACAGACACCAACACACACACACAACACACAGAGAGGTTCAGGAGGACAGAAGAAACAGACACACACACACACACACACACACACACACACACCACAGAGAGAGAGAGATGAGAGAGATCGAGAAGAGAAAGAGGAGAGGATGAGGAGAGAGAGATGTGGAGAGAGAACGAGATGAGAGACGAGAGGAGAGGAGACCTCACGGGAGACGGGAATAGCGGAGAGAGAGAGAGAGAGAGGCTTGAGAGGGGGAGAGACAAGAGAGAAAGAAAGAGAAAAGTGATGAACCGAGACAGAACAGACAGAGACAGACAACCTCAACAACCCCCATAAAAACCACCTAAATACGAGACTCCCTTTCATCAAACTTCTCGAACAAATGGCTGTTTATGTTATTAGACGACTGAAACAATTTGGTTGACAACTCGTTATTAGATGCCAGTAAGAACAGTTGTTTTTTTATGGAACAAAAAGGACAGTTGAAAAAAAGGTTGAGGTATATTGCTATTTACAAGTCATTTCATACCAGTTTTTTTGTTTTCATTTTTTTTTTCTTCATAATTCGTGGTATAAAATGGGTAATATAGATTTTTTACCAAGGGGTATACATGATATTTTCATCCTGGCAACTGATGCTAATATAAGCAATTGTAAATACGCATGAAACAGGGTTGTAGGTAAGTTATGATAAATGGTAATCATGAATTGATTGATGATGATGATGACGATTGATGATGATGAGGTGATGTGGATTGATGATGATAGTTGATGGTGAATTGATGATGGTGATGGGTTGATGGTTTGATGGTGATGATTTGATGGTATCTGATGAATGGTACGATTGATTGGTTTTTTGAATGATGATGATGTGATTTTGATAATAATTTTGAAGATTGGAATAAACGATGACGATGATCTATCTGGCATCACAATAAATAGTAGTGTGGTACTAATAACGTAAGAAATATAGATAAATAATGTGATGATAGTTAATAGTAATAGAAGCAATTGTCCAATAATTTTAAGTAAACTTTTATTTGCGCTGACATA